ACAGTGACACGGTACTGTCGATCTTACCTGCGTGTTGTACTGTCGAGGGGAGAACACCCGCTATTTTTTCTACTGCAGCGATGTAGCGGTTGTAGTCGCCATCTGTTGATCCAAGTTATGGTTAATAGGAAATGTTTAATGTATATATATATATATATATATATATATATATATATATATATATATATATATATATATATATATATATATATATATATAATGCTACTGATTTTTACATTTCTTGTATAAAGTTCTATTTTCCAAACTGACGGTCCATCGGGGAAGTAGAGGTCACCTGTTTCTGTTACCTCGGCATATGAAGGGATAGCGTTGTAAGCACTACGCTAAACCACCTTTACGGTCCCTAACGTGAGTTAGGTACCTATCAGAGCTGGGTATAATCAGTACGTTCTACTGAATTAAACCCGGATGCGAACTCGAGGTTTTCGGGTTAGCACTCAACCGCCAGGTCACACAAATTTACTAAATTTACTTTTTATTACAAACTTTATTTAATGTGTACCCTTTTTGTTTGATTTTTTTTTCATTTTACTAACTATTTCAATAAAACACAATCGATATTTTAAAATCAAATGAAACATTTATGTATACAGATCTTTTGTATTGTTTTTTTCGTTAAAAAAATAAATAAGAGCTCAACAGATGTAAAGCAAATATCATGAATGCTTTTGTTAGATAATATATTAAAATCGTTGGCATCAGAAATACCTTTTTCTTCTGCAGCTTTTTCCATAAGCGCCCTGAGCATTAACATACTGTTGACTGTTCTTCTGGATTCATATGCTACCGGTCCTTTAAAAGTTAGAAGACATGGCGTTTACAAATATGGTTTTAGCTTAATGAGAAAACATGGTTCAATAATCAGGGTTAGAGTAATGGTAACAAAAATCTTTTTTTTTTCTTTTTGATTACTGGGACTGCCAAGAATCTACATAATACCAAATACACCGCCACATAATATGTCTCATCGAATGAGTTGTGTGTTTACCTTCAAAGATGGCCGCGGCAATGCCAGTGTCATTTACACTTGCAGACACTTCCAGAAGGGCTTCGACGATATCAGCATCAGGAACTGGAATTGTTGAATGGAAGTTCAATTTATTTTTGTGATTTTCTGTCTGTGTACTATTTTAAAGGGGACTGCGTGGCCGTGCGGTAGAGCGCTAGACTGCTAACCGGAAAGTCTCGAGTTTGGATCTTAGGCTTGAGTCTGTAGGAATTTACGGAGTCCATGCAGCTCTGATGGGTACCTAACTCACCTTAGAGAAACAGAGGTGACTGGTCAAAGTGCTGACCACACTAATCACCTCTATGTCGAGGTCAGTGAAACAGATGAACTCTTCTTCAATACCCTATTTGTCTTGGGCACGAAGGGACAATAACATGACTATCAATATTTTTTTTAAGCTCACCAATAATGCCATTGTTGTCTAAGTAGTTTTTAGCTTTAGCCTGCAGGTTTTGCACTTTAGTCTCAAAGACAGAAACAGCGATACCTGTATAGATTAAAAAAAAGATATAAAATTGTAAAAACAAGTTAATTAAAAAGTCTAGTGACAATTTTAGCGCAATTTCCTTATGTTATCTAAAAATAGCTCTGTCGTAGCGTAAATCAAGAGCAGGGTTAGTAAAACCATTGGTTAGTTATTAAAACGTTTTTTATTAAAAAAAAATTTCAGTATTTTACATGTTTTATTTACAATAGAGTTACATGACTAAAAACCATTGCACGCCTAGCTACTGAACGTGATTACGAAGCCATAGAACGTGATGGTGCAGCTATTGAACGTGATGACGCGTGTGGTGTGGTTGGAAAAAATGCCTACTAATTCGGTCCAAATTTTAATTAATTCAAAAAAATTTTTCTGACCGAACGAAAGGATATTTTTGAAAACTTTCTTCGGCAATATTGTTCTAAATTATGGCAGGAATCGATTGGTACATGTTTCAAGTCGCTAAGTTGTCTGGTTGCCGAGATATGGGCCAAAAACTGCATTTTTCGAGGTTTTTTGGCTTTTCTGGGAAATCCATGAAAGAAACCCGGAATTTTTATGACCTATGTTCATCCTCGTAACTTGCTTAACATAATTGCTTTGGAACTAGTCATCGATATTGCTTCGTTGAGGAGGAGATACGACTTAAAGCCCGGACACACATTCATTCATCCATACATTCATTCATCCATTCATTCATCCATCCATTCCCAGAAATGACGAGTTAATAAACGCAATTCTCCAGAATGGAAATTGCGCTAAAAAACATTGGATAGAAATTCAACTTTAAGTAAGAATACATACTTTTTATAAAATATTTTCCATAAAATATTTCGTACACAAATAATTGTAAAAATTATCAGGTCTATGGACGCTTAAATTACTGTTCATAAATGACGTAGTTATCAAACATGTCTCCAAGCTTATAAAACGTAAAAAAAATTTAGTTCGTAATAACTAGTTATAATTTATTGCATGCAACCAACCATACTATATTAAACAAATAGAACCAAAACATAATCAATAACCAAATGTACCCTGTTGAAGCAGGTTATATAACTCATCCACGTTCTCTGTGAGCTCATCGATAATTGATTTAACATCAGGTGAGTTCAAGGTATCTCGGCTTACAACGTACTTTCCAAAACCTCCAAATTTATTACCACCAGCATAGCTACTGCCATCCTAAAGATATATATATATATATATATATATATATATATATATATATATATATATATATAATATATATAAATATAAACAATATATAATATATATATAATATATATAATATATATATATATATATAATATATTATATATATATAATATATTATATATATATATATATTATATATATATATATAATATATTATATATATATATTATATATATATATATACATATATATATATATATATATATATATATATATATATATATATATATATATATATATAGTGAGAGAGAGAGAAAGAGTGAGGGGAGAGAGAGAGATATAATATATATATATATATATATATATATATATATATATATATATATATATATATATATATATATATATGTATGTATATATAGGCTTATAAATTTATATGTGTAGACAGATATATATATATATATATATAATATATTATATATACATATTATATATATATATATATATATATATATATATATATATATATATATATATATATAGTGAGAGAGAGAGAGAAAGGGGAGAGTGAGAGAGATATTATAATATATATATATATATATATATATATATATATATATATATATATATATATATATATATATGTATATATAGGCTTATATATGTGTAGACAGATATATAGATATACAATTACCAGTATACAAATATAGAATACAGCTGCAATGCATACTTACAATACATATAAACACATTAATACACCGAAGCAGTGAATTGTAAAACCTACCCAGTAAACGCCATTAGCTACCACAATGCAATAAAAAAGCAGTAAACAGATCGTCATGATGAAACAGATGTCAATATTTGCTCAATAGATAAACCACAGAGCTGATCAATCACTGACCGGAGCGTGACTATTTATATACACTGTAGGTGAGAATATCATTTCGTCCACCGTGTTAGGTAATTATTGCTCATGATCTCGTGTTTGAATAGATTTTATCATCACGTTGGCTGACAGCTGGGGATGTTTTTCGTTGTTTTACTTGGTAAACAACGGAACAGATTCTTTTTCAATAATAACAACAGAAATTAATTAAACATGTTTGACTGGAATAGTTGATTTCGACAGCAAAAGTACGTTAACAATATGGTGTACCATGTTATTGTTTGAACTGTTATTGTGTTTACAATATACACACAGTTGTAAACTCTAGATATAAAGTTTAATATGTATATTAAATTAATATCTTTGTTGTTGTATTTGAGGGACGGCGTGGCCTAGCTGTATAGTGATAGAATGCTATTCCAAACAGTAGAACCTCCCTGAGTCAACCCAGCTCTGATGGGTAACATACTGACGTTAGGGAAGTAAAAGTGACTGCGGAAGTTACAGAAACAGGTGAACTCTACTTCACTTACCCTATAGATCGTTTGGTTCGATAAAGAAACTTTCGTTAAATAAGTCATCAATAAATACTACATAGTTAGTTCCTATTTACGAATATTCTGGTCAACACTTTACGAGTACAAAACACATCAAATAATTTAAAGACTGTACGTATTGTTATTATTAACAAGCTTTAATTAATAACCGTAAAGAATGATAAACACATAAAATATTTTTTCAGTGTTTGTACTTATATTATTAACATTGCCGTTCTTTGTGTCATTGTTTTTTTTACATATGTACATAAAACACATAGTATATGTTACTTTGTTCACATACAACTGAATTTTCCTTAATTTATAAACAAACATATTTCAAATATTAGTTATTCTATTGCAAATACACACAGGTGATAACTGACAATAATTGTATTCACTTTGCCCGACAGTTAAACCACATACGAAGACACCCAATCATGACGTAATAACAATATATCTCTTTATGACGTTTTAATGAAGCGCCAAGCGCAGTCACCATGATATCACATATGGCCTTGGCAAAATGATAGTAAGCCAAAATCACATTGGTATTAAGGTTAGACAGTATGGTTATAGGGCTGGTAAGTAGGTCACCAACCAGTGCTACGGCTTAATAAAACCTGCATGAGCCATAGAACTGGTTGGTGACCCACTTACCAGCCCTATTCGTCAAGACCAAACGTAAAATCAGTAGGCTACACCTAGCAAATCACAATTTCATAACATCCATTACAACAACTTTACAGTCCACTCACTATCAGTGTTTCTTCCAGACTTTTTTCTCCGAGGGGGTACTTGATATTTCCGGGTGGTGGGGGGGGGGTCTACATTTTCCAGGGGGGCGGACACTAGTAAAAGTATGTTTATGATATAAAATTCATCTCGTTCGGGGGGGGGGGGGGGGTAGACTTTCTTCGAAGTGATGGCTGGAAGAAACTCTGCTCACTACTACATTTGGATTAAACACAACATCCAGACACCAAAACAAAATCTTGTTCACCGACTGGCAACAAAAATAAAAGAGCGATTAATAATCATGGCTTAAATCATAGACTAGATGCATTCGACTGTAACTATTTAATCTCAGATTAGTTTTTACACAAGTCTAAAAATATAACAAAATGTGAATTAAATAAGTTAATTGTATAAAAAAACTAATCAAACATCATAGGGTTTTTGAAGAGTCAGTCCAGATCCCAGAAGCATTAGTTAAGTTTGTCAATCTACTCTTTTCCTGAACGTCAAATTTACAATCAGGAGGAAACTTGTCAGCAAAATACTTAAAATAACAAATCAGGCAGATATTGAAATTTTTACCGCAATATTCTGGTTGTATATTATCTTTAATGAATTTCGCCCTCCTTTCCTCTAACTTTTCTTTTGCGTGCAGCATTGGCCTCCCTTCTTCTCGCTGCTGTCTCCGGATCTAGATTCGCTCTTCTGCGTCTTTGAGCTAAGGTATTTGCCCACCGCCTCGCTTCTGCAGCTTCTGGAGTCTCTTCCTCTCTAGCTTTTCTTCTGCGTGCAGCATCGGCCTCCCGTTGCCTCGCAGCTGTCTCTGGATCTAGATTCGCTCGTCTGCGTCTTTGAGCTAAGGTGTTTGCCCGCCGCATCGCTAGTAAAAATTCTGAAGGTTCATCATCTCTTCTGCACCTACCACCACTGGCCTCTGCCTTCCGTCGTGCTAAAGCCTCTTCTGGCATCTCCATAATATGTCTCTTTAAGTAGTTGCGATTTGCTTCTGTTTCCCGAATCCTAGCCTTAGATACTTCATCTAGTTTAGCTTTCCATCGGGCCTTCCTTTCTCTTGCCTTGCGTCTTTTTCTCTCTAGTTTACTCTCAGGTTCCAGTTCTGAATCAAATGTTTCCATTTCCAACACAGGCAAATCACGACTAGTCTTTAAAATTAGTGTCGTACTCTATACTTGTAGATCTATAGAGAAAATAATTATTTAAATATGAACATAAAGAGTCAGAGAAATACTTTAATAATGTGGAGTGGAAAGTGAGGGTGATGATTATCATCCTTCACGTGCAAAATATTTTCAGTCACAGCATTAATGTAGTGACAAATTCACAAATTATGAATTATTGAAAAGTAGAAAATAAAACAACTATATCGTGTGTCGGCTAGTTAGAATTAATAGGCCTAGAAACTGGAGACTAATATATGCTATAATAGTTACCTCTAAAATACAAATATAGGACTTTTTTGAAAAAATTGATTTGTTATGTAATACAGAATTAATACAAAAAATAAATAAATTGGTCTGAGTTAGTAGGCCTGCACACTAACACTACTGTTATTAATAAAATTAATAAAAATTAATAAAAAGAAATTGGTATTAGTTGTGTCATACCACATCAGTTTACATATAATATCTTTTTATTTGAATAACTTCAGTAACTATAGAATAGCAATATTGTTAAAATAACAGCATTGATACTAAATTCAATTTCAAATTGTGTTGTATTGAAGAAGAATGTAGTTGTTTTTTTTTTTTTGACAAATTGTATAGGATGTAGGCAGAGGCGTCGCGAGGCGGGGGTGTGTAACGCACCGGGTGATACCATTTAAGGGGTTGACACAAAGACAAAAAATTGCAAAATATATAAAAGTAAAATGTTTTTCGCCTGTTCAGTTAATAAAAAATTAGCGTTTAAAAGTCTTTAATATACACATTGACCATCTCAACAATAATTAAACACACACACACATATATATATGTATGTATATATATATATATATATATATATATATATATATATATATATATATATAATTTCTCCCACCCCCCCCCCCCGTTTTGGTGTGTGTAGCTGGGAGGGGGGGGGGTTACAACATGAAGTGCCACACCGGGTGACACCCAACCTAGCGACACCAGTATTAGAGTTAAGAGTGGGGCATCTTAGTAACAATTTACACAGTAATACATATAAATTTTGTTTAAGACTTAGTGTCAGTGTAATACTGTAACAGACGCTACTCTAGTCCAGATTCTAGATCTAGAAATAGCTCATCTAGTCTGGAATGTAGCAAAATCTAGGTGTAAATATAGCTACACCCAGTTATTTAGTAGGCCTTGTACCATGGTTATTAGATCTCGAGTTTAGATTTAGGGATAGGCTTAATTGATAATTTTCAAATTGGACCTAAAGTAATTATAGATTTAATGGCTAGTTTTACTTACAACTTTATTTACATTTTTGTTTGGCTTATTATGTTTAAAATATGAGCTGTGATTATAAGAGAAAGGGGTAGGCATGGTTGAGCCAGTAAAGCCCATGGCTGCTAAACCAAAAAGTCTCAAGTTCAAATCCTCAGGTAGATGAAGCTCGAAAGCTGGGGACAGCAACTCTTCAAGGAAAGACAACTCTCAAATCAAACAACTACTGCCTTGTAACTTTGTTCTTGGTTACACAAAGGGTATGGAAGCAAATCTTAACAGAAAAGCAGGCTGAAATCAGAGTCAATGGCCTATATGGCGCATAACAAGTTGGCATGTATACTTAATTGTGTTGGGGGAAATCTCTACCAACACTAAGAACACAGAAGAAGAAAAAAGATTATAAGAGAAAATTCTGAGTATAAATATTGTGTGTACATCCATTTTTCAGATTACCTGAATTAAATCAGTGCATATAGACCTCTAGTAAACACAGAAGAAAGTACCCTACACAAATTCCAGGATATCTTAACAGCGAAGCATAAGAAATCAAAATGTGTGCTATAATGAAGAATTCATATAAGACTGTAATTTGTGAATAACAATATTTGATGCAAGAACAAAAATTAAATTCCCCTGATACTACTGGGTAACTTATAAATCAAATGCCTTTACATTTTAATACTGAGAAATTAATTTTTTGAATTAAAATAAAAATTGAGTTTTTCTTAATTACTTTATGTTGAATATTTTTTTTGTTTTTTGATTGTTTGTGTTAATGTTAGTGAATGAAGGTATTGTAAACAACAGTGAGAGTTGTAAAGTAGTAAAGTTTCAGCTTCAAACCTGTTAGGCCACGGAGCAGGAAACATGGAGTTCACTGGTTTCTGTGAATTCAGCAAATGAAGTGATGATGTGGTCAGCACTATCTTCAGCCGCCTTTACTTTCCTAATATGAGTTAGATACCCATCAGTGCTGGGTGGACTCAGGGACTTTCTTCTGACTTGAGCCTGGATTTGAACTTGTCACTTTTGGGATAACAGTCTAGCGTCAGTATGAGTTGCTTCAGACAAAATCTGAAAGTAAAAAAACACTGTTTAGTTTTTAAAATCATTACACTAACACACACAGACAAAAATGGTATTGAATTAACACAATAAAAATAAAATAACTTTTAATAATTGATAAATGGACATATTTAGGATATCTTAGCTTACAGAAATAAAAAGTACAAGTACATGTAATGACTGTAAATAACTATTGAACATTTCTAGTTAATATAAATATATGTTTACAATGAAATACAAATATTAAGTTGGGATATAGGCCTATTGTTCAAGTAGTAGAGCACATTAATGCTAATCCGGAGAAGTGGTTTCAGGGCTCAAGTTCACCAAGCCTTATAATTAACTGGCTAGAGGTACTGACATTAAATGTTAACTACACAACTGCTTAAGCAGCCTAAGTCTAAGTAAAAAAAAATAAGACATTGTTATTACAATCGTTATTACAAGTGGAATACATTTCATCTGTGGTGCAATACTTAAACAATAAAAATTAATATTAAATTATGTAAACAGAAGTTTCTACAAAGTAGGCCTTGTTAATAGACAGTATTAGTATCAAGTATCTAGATAGATCTTTATAATGATTTAACTGTTAAAGTTGGTGCTTTTTTTTTTAAATCATGGAATTTAATTTTCCATTTTAAATTAAAAGCTCAATGACACTAACCCAAAGAAACAAACCTTATTAAAATTAAACTTATTAGGCACTAATATTAGATTAATCCAATATTTTAGGCCCACTTATTAGATCTAGTACTTGAATCAAATTTTGAATTTCTAGCGCTACACCTAATAGACCTAGAATTTAATATAGTAATACTGGTACACTAGTATCACTTGTCTATAAGACTATAACTATAACTGTTTAACTGTATAACTACATCATGACTAACTACTAAGCAGACGACTAATAATTATTAGTAATTACGTTTATTAGGTTGAATGTGTAATAATATCAAGTGTAGCCTATATATTTCTAGAAGCTAGAAAAAGTATTACGACCAAAAATTCTTTTAAAAAATGCCTCATTTATTTTAATTAATAAATTGGGGCTTAGTAATTATAATGTAAAAAAGGCAAATCTGGTATTCTATTGTTTTTTGTGCGTAAAATCGGCGGAGGCTAGTAATGTGTGAAAAATTTGCCTCATTGTTAAGGCTTAATTATATTAATAGAAGTATATTCAATATACTTCTATTAATATAATTAAGCCTTAACAATGAGGCAAATTTTTCACACATTACTAGCCTCCGCCGATTTTACGCACAAAAAACAATAGAATACCAGATTTGCCTTTTTTACATTATATAATATTTGACACAAATATGTCACAATATAATATTGTGACATATTTGTGTCAAATATTATAGATAACTGAATAATAAACCAAAATCAATAACTAAATATATCAACAGCAGTGTTTGCGAGCAGGATTTGCTATATAAAAAGCGGCCTTCTGTAAGTTAAAGTGGTTTCCCCTAAATCTCTAACTATAATTTTACCAAAAAACAAAAAAACAAACTTAAACAAGATGGCTGCTCAAGTAAATGAGCTTGTTTGCATCTGATGAAAGCATTGCTAGTCTTTATTTTTTACTGAAAAGTTTTAATACAATTGTTTAAAAACAGGTACATTAATGAAACTTTAAAACATTTTGTAACTTTCAAAACATAAAATCTCCTAAAAATGGGAAATAATTACTAAAAAATAATGAGTCACCTTTTTTTCACATTACTAGTCTCGGCCGGTTTTACATACTTAAAACGATAGATTACGCCTACCCAATTTTTTTTTATTTGCTACGTTATTTAATTTTAGCTATTTACGCCTAAATTATAATAATATTAGGCATATACAAACTAAACTTTCTAAAGAAAAATATTATTAAATGGTTCAGTTTTATAACTTATAGATCGGTAGCTAGTCAATAGTGACTCAATAGACTGGTCTAGTTGTCGGCGTGGTGGAGTCGGTAAAGCTCATGGCTACTAAACCGAGTGTCTCCAGTTCGAATCCTCAGGCAGAAAAAAGTGAGGCTCAAAAGCTGGGGACAGCCACTTTTCTAAGAGAGACAACTGCTGCCTTGTAGTTTGTTCTTGGTTGGAAAAAGGAAGCAAATCAAAAACAAAAAGCAGGCTGAAATCGGAGTCAATGGGCCTCAAAGGTGCATAACCAGTTGACATGTATCCTTAATTGTGATGGAGGCATGGTCGAGTCGACAAAAGATCATGGTTGATAAATTCAAAAAAGGATCGAGTTCAAACCCTCTGGCAGATAAGGCTCGATCCCTTCCAACACTAAAAATTAAGAACGAAGAAGAAGAACAAGAAGAATCTGGTCTAGCCAATCGTAAATTAAATTTTATACTGACAGTGTGGGCCAGAGTAATAGTAACTAAGAAAAAATTAGAGCCCTAAATACTAAATACAGTAATACTACAGTAGTAGGCCTTAAATACAATAAATAGTATTGATAAGTATTGTCACTAGATCTAAATTAACTTAAGCACTATTATTTAGACTATTAGAATTTCAATTTATTAGATCTAGATTTAGAATCTAGGCTAGATCTAAATCTAGATTAAAATTAAATGATGAATTTAGAATTATTCAGAATCTAGATCAGTGGTGTAGCGAAGTCGGGAGTCACCAGGTGCGGCACTTAATGGTGTCACCCCCCCCCCCCCCCCCCAGAGGCGTAGCGACTCTTCCCGGGGACAAACTTTCAATTTTCGATTTGCGACCCCCCCCCCTCAAACTTTCAATTTGCACTCCCCTTGAACTTTCGATTAGCACTCCCCCTCAAACTCTATATTTGACTATTTTTTGCCTTGGTGTCACCCCCCCTAAATGGTGTCACCCGGTGCGGTCCGCACCCCCCCCCCCCCCCTCGCTACGCCTCTGATCTAGATTATTTTTATAACTTAACTATAACTATAAAAACTAACTAGGTACAGTATTCTGACATTTTTAAGTATTTTTTTAGGTAGGCCTAGATCAAGAATAATCAAGATCTATATAAAATTTAGAACCCTAAAAAGTAAAAACTGTACTAGAATTCTAGATCTAGAATTCTAGATCTAGAATCTAGATCTAGATCTAGGTCTAGAAATTAAAACTCCGATGCTGCCCATACGCCGCCACGGCCAACGGTTTTATTTAATTTATTATTTATTTAATATTTATGCTACATTTAACTAGATCTAGATCTACATAAAATTCTAGTCATTTCAAGTTCTATCATGCTAAAATACAAGCAAATCCTTTACCTAGATTCAATCTAGATCTAGATCTAGATTCAAGATTTCTATGTTGAAATGTTTTGATTTTAAAACTTCAGTTTAAAGCGAAAAGCGAAAGTAGCTTTCCTAACTTTAAATAAAAAAGATGTACCTAATAAAAATGATATAGATTTACATTTGCTTAAAAAAACGCCAACTGGCATTGGCAAGATTGAGTTATAACTGAACTTCAACTGGGGCAAGTGAAAACACACAATTTATAAATTTAAAATCTTTAGCATGTTTAGGTGGCTTCTACGATCACAATCCATGTGAATTTCCTTTAGATTCTAAAGGAAATTCACATGGATTGTGATTTGTTAAGTAATTGTATGCAAACATCAGCACTTTTTTTTTAAAATTCTGCTTCGACTCTTAAATATATTTGAGCTAAAATATATCGATTCGACACCCACACAAAAATCTATACTCCCCACCCCACCTACGTAACAAACAAGTTTTAATTTAAAAAAGCAAGCAATTACACCCCACGACGCAGACAAAACAATAGGCCTACATTTTAGTTACCAGCGAGCAGAGGCGTAGCGACCCTTCCCGGCGCCCGGGGACAAACTTTTCGATTTGCACCCCCCTCGAGATTTCGATTTGCACCCCCCTCAAACTTTCGATTTGCACCCCCTCAACCTTTCAATTTATTTTTCCAACCCATTTTGGCGCCCCCTAAGGTCGGCGCGCCCTAAGGTCGGCGCGCCCTAAGGTCGGCGCCCCGGGACATATGTCCCCCCCCCCCTCGCTACGCTACTGCCAGCGAGTTATACCACCAGCAGAAGCGTCGCGAGGGCGGGGCGGGGGGTGCGGACCGCACTAGGTGACACTGTCTACTTCACTTGCCCTATAGACCTTTCAGGTTTGAAAGGGAACTTTACTTAACTTTATGTCTGTGGCTAAAAGGAAGATTAAATGTATCTGATTCGTATAATCATTAAAATGTTATTAGCTTTAAGTTTAGATTTGCAGCATTGTGTTTTTCTGTAGCTATAAAGTCAGGAAATTTGAAGGAATATGGAAGTTACTATCTCGTGTACATATATATGCCTATTGGGAGATATTTTAATGGTTGCAATAGCAAGATCATTTTGCCGGAATGAACTCTGTGAATGAATTCAATAAAGGTCACTGATATCACGCATGTGTTTTAATTTGTAATTCTAGAAAATAGTTAACATAATAATTAGACATACACATCTATGTAAGGAAAACAAGAATATGTATTTAAAAATTATTTATTGAATTTTCCAACTTAATATGCAAAATTATTTAAGGATTAGTTAAGGATTGCAGATACAGATAACAGCATAATGTTGAAAGCACAATTTTTTTTTTAAAATTAAATACCATATGGCAATTTAAAAGCATTATTTTTTTACACTATTTGACATTTGCCTTTTGAAAAAAAAGTAATACACATGTTATTATATATTTGAGTATACAAAAGAAACTAAATATATGTTTAAATAATTAAAATCATGGTATACATATAGCTGGCATATATTAAGTCACAAAATGTTAAATCGAGTCTCATACACAAGCATTTCAACTGGGTTGTAATCAGTACACCGTTCTACTAAATTTACAGACTTCAGATTTTCGTGTTGTCGGTTGGTCAGATCCAGCTGATCCGCATCACAGAGGTCTTGTTGGACGTGTTTTGGGACGGCCAGTTGCTGGACTTTCTCTCGTCTAGCCGGCATAGGCCCAAGACACTGGACAACGGCCTGCTTGGACAATGAAAATAAACTTCTGGGCCGTGAGATGAGCCGCTCGATGTGGTTTACTTTCTCCATAAACGCGTAGTTTTCTAATGCAGCTTTCATGGTTTCTAGGGGAAAGTTCCACGACACGTAGTCGTCAAATCCTCGGGTGGAATTTTCCAGATCTGATTCAAAGATGGCGTCCAAGAGATCTTGTGGCTTTTGTAAGAAAAATAGCGTCATGAAGATTCTCAAATAACCGACCCTGCAAAATAGTTTTAGAAATATCTTAGTAACAAGGTTTCCAAAAAACTGAACGTGGAAAATAATTTGAAAATTGTTTAGTAACATGTTTTCAAATAAGTAAACGTGGAAATTTTTTTTTTAGAAATAGTTTAGTACCATGTTTTAAAATATCTGAGTATATTAGAAATATAGTTTCAACATAAGCATTATTGTTTTAAAATGTTACAAAACAATAACATTTTAGTGCCAAAGTTAATAGTTAATTACAAATGTGAAGCTATGTTGACCTACCTATTGCAGCCTTTGAGTGCCCCATAGTTGATGACCATTCTTACAACATCAGGACCTAAGGTCAGGGCCAGACAGATCACAGTTTCAAAGTACTGGTCACTTGGTCCAGTGGGGTCGACCCCAGCGTCCAACATCTGCTTGACCAAGTCCAGTTCCCCTTCTACTAGAGCCATGACCAGAGTGTAGTACATGTTGTCTTCTCGAATATTCACCGTGTAATCGTTACACGATGATAGTTTTCGTATTTT